GGGCACAGTGCCGGCCCGTTTTGAGCTTCTCATCCACCAGTACCATCAAGTCCTTCTCCTCAGGGCTGCTCTTGAGCCACTCTCCACCCAGTCTGTACTTGTGTTTGGGATTGCCCCGACCCACGTGCAGGACCTTGCACTTGGCCTTGTTGAACTTCATGCGGTTCACACAGGCCCACCTCTCCAGCCTGTCAAGGTCCCTCTGAATGACATCCCTTCCCTCCAGCGTGTCAACCACACCACCCAGCTTGAACTGTCTTGTCAGCTGTTCTTGGGTTTCATCTTGCAGAGATCTAAAGGGAGTCTGACCATAACATAACATAACATAACATAACATAACATAACATAACATAACATAACATAACATAACATAACATAACATACATTCAGGATGGAAAACCAAGGCCAATGGAGCAAGATACACTTGACCACGTGGATATCTCCTTGACTTGGCAGAGCCCATGCCCTTACTCTTGCTGAGCTCAGTCTCATGCTCTTGGCCATGGTCTGACATCTGCACTGAGCCCCCAGCACATCTTGGCCAAGGAGCAGGTGCTCACACAGCAACTGCATTGGCTTCAACTTTGTCTGGACAGCCTGGGGCCAGCGTGAGTGCTGGCGACTTCTCCCCATGTTGAGGGAAGTGGACGGGAGCAGGCCACAGCTTCAGCCCAGCCCATACTGCCACTTTCCATGCTTTCAAGAACAGAAGAGAGAGGGGCTGGCATGCAGCTGCCTCCCACCCTGATGGCAAGCTGGGCACAGCTGGAACTGGAAGCTAAGAAACTGGAGCTGGAAGCTAAGAAGTCCTCAGGTTCCCACCACTGAGATATTAGAGGATCTAGTCCTCAGGGGACCAAAATGCCTGAGCAAGCACTAGCAGCCGCTCAAAAAGGGTTTTGTTACAGTTCTTATAATTTACTGAAAGGCTATGTCACTGTATGCAGATACCATGGCATGAGATACTACTCAGTATTTTCTACTTAAAAAATATGCTCAGATTACTGATGGACTTTGTGTGAGTTTTGGAGGTGCTCCCAAGCCTCCCTTTCAAGGGAGAGAGAGGGGGTTGAACAAACCAAGCAGCTTTACAGACTGGAGTCCAAACAACTGCATCTCAAACAAACAAACAACATTTTTGTTGTTGCAGCATTTCTTCCTCTGAGGCTTGTGCTGTAGCACTCAGAGGTGGTGATAGGAGCTTCTTGGTGAAGTAAGTGGGCAAACAGGTTTCTGATTTCAGTTGGACGCGAGGCAAAGGAAAATAGCCGGCAGTCAGCACACTCGGTTCTGCTGTAAGCCGCCAGTCTCCCTGCTGCCTTCTCATCAGACTCGAGGACTGGGGTCTCCGCAGGGAATTTTTCAAATTATACTGTAGCACCTGCTTGCAGAAGAAAAAGGGATCGGATAGAGGAATGGCAAGAGCTAAGCCAATGGGATTGTCAATTTTATTGCTTTCAAAGGAAATTTCTTATTTCTCCAAACATTCCTATAAGCTATAAAAATGCAGTGACAGGAATGCTCAGGAGAGGGTGACAAAATAAGCAAAGAGTATAAAGCTGTGTATACTGGAGTAAAGTTACCACATCCTATATCGCTCTGCTGCATGCACATGTTCCTTCTGGTCTGCATGATCCTCTCCCTATTGCTTGACTCATCCCTGTTCTGTTCCTCTCCCTGCATTCCACGTTGCTGCAGGAAGGGCCGTTCCTTGCCATGGCCAGGGCTTGGGGGGCCCTGCCTGTCAGTCTGTCTAGGAGAGGCATCCTTAGAAGCCTGCAGGCTAGCTCTCGGGTGCGTACGCTCTTCTGGTGAGGGAGCACAAACATTTCAGGACAGGTAATCTGTAGACGAGATCCTATTAAAATGGGAGTGCTTAGAAAGTGTTATCTAGGTATAACCTGAAAGAGGAAACAACCGTTTTAAGTTCATTTCTAGACGATGGAAACTGCCTTCTCCTCACTGTACTTCCATTCAGCTGAGGTGCTGCATTCACTGCCAGTGTTGCAAATTCAGTCAAACGGTGAACCCATGGTCTCATTTCTCACCCCCAGGACTAAAGGTTTTCAAGACCAATTTACGCCTTTAGCTGCATCTACTTTATCTCGTGGCCTTCCAGCTCCGCATCAGAGATACCTGTGTGACCTCACCGTGATGCGAATCTCTTGGTGTGCCTTGCTCTCAGGAGGACCCTGAAATTAAAGATTCAAAAGCTCTGGAGGCTCTCCAGCTGTCATAAAATATCTTGAGGGAAAACAGACTGGGGTCACTGACCAAAGTTTAGCATACAGTCTGGCTGATGTGAAGGAGAGATTTTCTGAAATGCCCCTGAAGCGCTTGAATAAAACACAGTGGAAGTTTGTGTGTGTGGATAAAAGGGATGAATAGGAGTAAATCTGTACAAGGAATTGATGTGTTCAGTAGAAAAGGTTTTTCATCTGCTTTTTAGGGAGCTGCACTTTGGAGAGAAAGGATGTAGCAAATCTTCATTTCTTATCTTGTTACTTCACTAGAAAATTTTTAACAGGCCACTCTAATGGGTTCAGATCCATTTCCGAGTTCATTACTGTAGGGGGGAGCAGGTCAAAAATATCACTCCCTAAGAGACCTTGGCTTTGTCGGGGACTTTGCCAAACAGGCACTTCTCTGCCAAGGAGAGAGCTGCTGCCAGTGCTCACGGCACAAGCTGCTGAGTATCAGGATCTTTGATAGCAGCGTTTCTCTGAATGACAGCTCGAAACGATAGCGCAGAGACACCGCCAAAACAAAGCTCTACCTGCAGCCACACCAGCTCTTGCACTTGACGACCTTACACGCTTCCCCGCTCCTCTCCCTCACGCATGTTCTCGCTCCCCGCGTCAGAACACTGATGCTGCAACATCCCGCACGTTTCACCCAGCGTGGAGGGAGATGACGTACCCTGGGAAATGCCCGTAGGGTCAGAGCCTTTTCCTGTGAGCTACAGTAAGCACCTTAATACTTGTTCCTGGGGACAGCACACACCTAGGTAGGTCTTTAGGGCTGCCGCGAGGCTGAGCAGTGACCACCATGTGGAGCAGGGAGTGCCACTGCTGGTCCTCAGCAGGTCACCGGCAGGGCTTTCTGCCTTGCCTAAAGCAGGGGGGTGGGCAAGGGGAAGGGGACTGGTGTGAACCCCGCTGTCCCCTCAGTGTGGAGCCGGGAGAGGGCCAACACCCAGAGCTGAGACCTCAGGCATGCTCTTAGAGCTACTGGCTTAGAGTAATTGTAGCGTAGCTGGGAGAAAACGGTCTGTTAATCACAATCCAAATGGCAAGGCTAGGGTTTTACAAGGCTCCAGCAAGGTATGGGAACGGGACTTATAAAGGCTTCAATCTGTCTATGCTGCAAGATTTAATCATGCTCTCATCGCCTACTTTGTAAACGATTTCTAGACAGTAGAGGTGAGACCTGGGAGATCCCCAAAAGCTTCTGCCTCCCTCCTCCAGCAGACTGCTTTAAAGGTGAGGACTGTGCCTGGGACTGGAAGGAAAAGAAAAAAAGCTAATTTAAAGGTCCTGCCCTGTTGATCTGTGAGCAAAGAGGGGTGAGAGCCAAGGATCCCCCCGGCAGGCTGCCCTCAGCAGTGGGGCTCCCAACACACCAGTGCCTGTGGGGTATCTGAGCCCCTGCATAAACTCTTCCCCCTCCAGTTCAAATTCAACCTCAAGCCCTTCACCCTTGATTCTGAGCCACGTTCAGTGCTTGCAGCATATTTTCCTAATGTGTCCGGAATGCAGCAGGGCTGTAGTAACGCCGACAAGACCAAACCTTTTTATACCTTGCTTAGCTCACTCTTACAGCTAAGCAAGGCGCCTAGGAGCAAGCATCTCGCCAGCAGCCCAGATTTACACCCTGCTTATGGTACTGTTTTTCCGGGAAAAAACACCCATACCAAACCACCTATTTCACCAATGCATTTTAAAACCTTAATAGAAGAAGTCCAGTGATAGCTGAGAGTGACCGTCCTCTCTCCCTGCTTTCTGGAAAGCTCCCGCTTGCTACCGCTGCACAGAGGCAGCAAACACCTCTCGTCCATAGTGATGCATGTCGGCAGTGCTTTGTTGGACACCAAAAAAGCATATAAGCACAGCCTGGCAAGGTTTTACTAAAAGAGCCGCCTGTCTTGTGCAGTCGCCAGCTGCCAAAACGCCAGTGGAACAAACTACCCCCTGTGAACGGGTGAGAGCCTCCGCAACGACACCCCAGCTCTGCAGCATTGTGTCACAAGCAGCTTTTCCACCCATGGTTCTTCCCTACGAAAAGGTCAGGACCTCAATCCATGATGCCGACCACTTTGTTCTGCAGCTGAGAATTCAAAATATTTGTCTCCGGAACTGGCTGGTCTGTTGTTAAACCGGTTTCAGTGCACCGGGTCTGCGGTAATCGGCAGTCGGCTTTTGAATGGAAGCGGTGCTCTGTCTTTAACTTTACTATTAAACGCTGATAGTATGGGTATGGGGTTAAAAATATTAGAACCAAAATGCCTGGCAGGCCAGCGTGGAAACTCCGGTTACCTACACACCTGCAATTTAGGAAAGGCAGGAACTGTAGGATTCGGTTGCTGCCGTTCAGGGTTAGGTCTAAGGAAAAAAAGTGAAAGCTTTGAAAAATTCAGGGAGCTGAAAAGAGAGAGGGTAAACACAGCTAAAAGCAGCAGCGAGCAGGCCCCCACAGACCTTCTCCCAGCACTCTGTTTGGAGGGTGCTGCTCTCCGCCCCGGTGCCATCGCTGCGGGCACGCAAGTCTGTCCCACCTCGGAAGGCGAAAGGCGCTTTCTTACTCACCGTTCCCGTCGGATCCCCCGGCCAGCGGCAGGGCAGAAAGCAGCGCGATGAGGCTTTGCTCCCGCATGTTCCCTCGGCGGCGGCCCCAGACGAGGGGTGCTTGGGCTGGCTCCCGGCTGCACCCCGGCATCTACATTTCCTGCTTCCTGCCGGGGTGCATCTGAGCTGCATTTCTGTAGGAGATGGACTCTCTTTGATGGCTTTTAGGAAGTGATGTAATTCCGCCTGGGCCTGTCAAGCGAGCAATGATTGCAAAAGAAAGAAGAAGAAAAAAAAAAAAGAAGTTGCTCTTCAAGCACCAGCGCGGCCGAAGCACCTTTTTGCTGTAGGTGAGCGCGCTCCTGCTCTCCGCTGCTTTTTTGACCCCCAACTTTACCACCACCTATCTTCATCTACACCCAGTGTCATGAGATGGACACCATGCAAATACAAATCAGACACAGAAGATCACTTATGTCTGTTAGCAGGAAGGTTTTAGGTTGCTTTTTGGGGTGGTTGAGCGAGCAGATTTCAACAGTGCCTCCCTCCCGCCTCGGTTTTCAAGCTCTAATTCTCCCCCTGGCACGGTGGGACACTATGTTGGGATCCCAAAAGGCAACTCCCATGCGGGGCTGTCTCAAGCAAACGGGAAACCTGCCTGGTTTGCTTTGCAGCCTGTAACTGAGTATTTTGGGCTGGTTTGAGCCGGGGAAGAGGAAAAAGCAGAAAACCACATCATTTCTTGTTAGAAGCAGCTGGCTTAGCAGGAAAGCACGCAGACACCAGTGTGATGATGGCTGTAGGGGACGGGGAACAGAAGGTCTCGAGCCCCACCAGGACGCAGCACCTGCTGTGGGGGTCTGCGGTGGCACGGCTGATGGAGGTGGCAAAGGGCCAGGTGACTCCTGCCTCCCTGCCTTACTCCCTTCTCTGGATTTTCGCTCCCCCCCACCCCGTCAGTCTGTGACTGGGCGTGCAGACCTCGGGGCACGGCTGTGCCCCCCACGCTGCCCCGTCCTCTGTGCCCACCGCCCCAGCAGCACCAGCTCACCCCGAAAGAGGCGAGGGTGCACCGGGGCCCCACGTGTGGCCTGTCGCTGGGTAAGAGCGACGGAGGAGCTCAGCATCAAACCCAGTGTTTTCAGCCTTCTTGCTATATGAGGTGAGCCTAGCCAGGGCTCAGAATTTGGACCCAGACTGAAAAGATACCTGTCCCCAAGCAGGGCAAGTGGTTGGACCGTAGGCTTGGTTTGTTCCACTGTACAAGTAAGTACTAGGTCTGAACTTCATCCCTCTGAGTCCAGGAGAGTCTGCACCCCAGATTTACTCTGGGGCATCCCAGGTTTGAGCCATTGTAAACACTCGCATACAGTTTCTGAGCAATAAACTGAGGAAGAAGAGACGTGTACTGCCAGTGTAGCAGCTTCATGGTACTTCCCCTAGACATTAGTTTGTGTCAAAATGTGATTTCTGGTGAATTAATTGCAGCTGGCAATGGTGAATCTTCCTGTGCAGATTGGTGGGAGCTGCTGACGTGACCCAACTGTTGCTCTGCTTCCGCAGCTGATAATTTCTCTTAACACACTGATGCTTTTATAGGTCATCAGTTATAGTTTCTTATCTTGAGTAGCTGAGAAACAGGTCAGTGATTCATTTAATGAGCAACTTGTTAATAGATTTAAAACAGTTGAATGATTTAGTTAAGTAAAAATCTGAACTGGTTACTTCATATTGGCAATGTATATTTATGCACTTCATAAAACAGTGGGGGGAAAAAGCAGAGCAAAGTTACAACATTGCAGCTACAAGAAGATCAAGAGGAGCTCCGAGTTATGAAGCTGTTGACTGACTAATTAAATATTTCTAGGAGATATTCTTTAATATGATGTCATAGCCATACATGACAACACTGACCAGACCAAAGTGTCAGAGGTGACTTCTGAATGCTTTTAAGATTTTCCTGTTTAAAAATGACAGCATTCCAAGTATTAGTAATAGTGTCTAATTGATAAAGATACTTTCAATTATGAAAGTCCAGAAATTGAGGCTACCCAGGCATCTCCTGCGTGCTCGGAGGTACTGCGGCTTTGTCTAGTCTGGTGATAGGAAAACCAATAACTGGCCATCAGGGCAGCGCAGGCAAGGGCTGTCTGTGTTTTGAGGAGCATGGACTCACTCAGGTCCTAAGCCTGTTACTGTTGTCCAGCCTCAGCTTTTCTTTAGCTTTAGTCAACAGTAGGCAAAGGCACATTTTCTAACAGTATTTTTATTGCTTTAGTGTAAAAAGGATGGGCTATCCTCCTTTCCATTTCTTCCCCATCTCCTTCCCAAGTTTGCCACTCTCTGTCTTTCTAATACTACACAGGCTAGAAACCTGCTCTCCCAGTTTATCCTGCCCTGCATATTTGGCTGTTTTGCCCCATTCTGTAGATTTAGCCCATAAAAACATAAACCTACATAGAAAGACTGGAAGGGACAGAG